CCTACGAATATGCAGTCACGGTGACGCCTGTGTTTTTTTTTATATATATATGGCTTCAAGATCAGAAAGGGTTGGAGAGGAAATTAATTTCCAAATGAAAACAGGGTTGAATGGAACCAGAATAACATGTGTTTTTAATGTTTTTTTTATTGGTTTAGACATGATTTAAATATACGGGAACATCAGTGAGTGGGTCAATTTTGCTGGAAGTAGCCCATGCTTAACAAAATGTAACAGGAACTCGGTTACCAATGCTGGTCATGTATATATTTAGCAAACGAATGGGGCAATGCCATTCTGATTAACCCAATCCCTCCCGGTATTGTGTCTTTTAGGAACTTCCTCTGTTTGTTCATCTTTCCTTGCGTTTGATCTGAAAGATTTGCCCCCCTCACATCTTCTCCGGCTCGTCCTTCTCTCTTCACAGCGCCCTCTCCGCTGTGTGTGCTCTAACTGCACAAATCCAGGAACTATTGCAATTCAGGGCCGAATTCTATTACCAATCGGAATCTCTCCACTTGATACAGCGCCTCTCACATTGGGAGGACGTCCCATTGCTTCACAAGATTTCCTGTGATGTGCAGTGCAGTGCAGTGACTGTGCATTTTGTAGCCATTGGATCAATTTTATTTGGGACGGCTCAAAGGATACACTGTAAATCGGATTGATTGTGTATTTTGTGCGCGAGACCCCACAGCCAATTGCACACAGCAGTGTCCCACAAAAACATGAAGTGAGCGACCAATTTTATTTGGGGGATTGTTGGCCCGGACACCGGGAGAGATTAACTCTTTTCTCTTTTCGTGGCATCTTTAACGTCCACCTGAACAGGCAGATGGTACCTTGGTTTAACTTCTCAACCAAAGGATGGTGTCTCCGACAATGCAACCACCAGCCCCACCCCCCCCCAACACCAGCACTGCATTGGAGCGTCAGTTTAGACTATGTGATTCCAAGTCCCATTGGGACCTTCTGCCTCAGAGGCGAGAGCGCGAGAGAGAGAGAGGGAGGGGGAGCGCTAATATTGTGCCAGACTGACATCGACACAGGGCCATCGAGGTTTATGTAAAGTCTTTTAGGATCGAGATACTTTCCAACAATCCAGATCTGTAGAAGGTTAGAAGTCACCTGGCCCAGTGGCCTGACCTGATGGGTCGGGGTGTGGATGAAATGGGTGGTCACTCTCTGATCTGCTCAGTGTTTCAGTCGACAGTGCGTTCATAAGCGGTTTGCCTTTCGCAATTATTGCTGTGTCTACAACTCGCTGCCGTATATTCTGCTCATTGTTTCCAAACTGTACCACTTGACCTCTGAGATAAGACCATCTTTCAAAACATTAATAAGAATCGGGCAAAGTTCGTGTTGACAGAGTTTGCAACGGCATTCAAAACAATGCAGCCTGTCATCTTTTTCTTTCCCAGGGCTTGATACTCTTCCCCCACCCCCCCCCCCCCATCCACTTTTCTTCTTATAATAATCCTTGCATTAAATAAAGCATCTTTCGTGTCTGGAGGACATCTCAAAACAGGATTTACTGTGAAACGTAGTGACTGCGTTTTGTGGGCGAACGCAGCAGTCAATTTGGCCACCCCGAAAAGAACAATTTTAAGTGGAGCTCTTATGTGGGGCTATGTTTTTTTCCTCCTCTGTCACTCCCCATTAGTACGTTCCTGAAAACAAACGGCATTTAAAGCCAGGATCATACAAAGAAAAACCAAATCAAATGCTGTATAAAAACCATGTTGTAAATGATTCCGATAGTGGGCTATTTGCTAAAGTGGAACCTCAACTGGTCAGATTTGCCTCCCCCCCAAAAAAACAGCCCCTGTATTTGCTGGCAATGACTAAATGCTCTGACCTTGCAGGCCCTATAAAAATGCAAACTCTTCTCCTGCTCTGATTTTTTTTCAGTTGAGATCAGGCTTTCACCGCTAGAAAAACCTAATTCAACATGTCTCGCCGTTTATTGACTGATCGACGCTCCGTGTGTCAATTCTCGGCGGCAGAAAAAAACCCACAGTAGGTGAAAAGGCAAGTCTGATAACACTTTATAACTCGCACCTTATCAGACTCGGTGCTTATTTGCTGTTGACGCCTGTCACTATGGGAGATTTAACTAAGCAATCTGGAGAGGTGCCAGCACACTGGGTGATCTGTGCCTTTGCTTCATTGCTTTACCGAGCGGAGTCTCCAGACGAGTTCCACAATCCCCGGTGTCTCAAGTGTTCGCTGTTAAGAAATCATCATGAGAGCCGTTTGGCGACACCAAATATTAATGTGTTTAAAATAGCAGCAGTTAATCTTGATCACCGAATGGCATGGACGATTATTGAACGATTTAACTCTATTCAAGCGCCTTACACAGCGATTCCTGTGAAATACACGCACCGCGGTAACACAGGACAGGCTAAAGGTCTAAACCTTTTCTCAGCTAATATGTACACTGGGTGTCTTCGGATACTAAAGACCTCTTTAAAGCACAGGAAGGGAACAAGATATAATAATAATCATATAATAATAATCATCCTTGCATTTGATACAGAACCTTATCACGTCGCCGAGACGTCTCAAAGCGCTTCACAGGATAATACTGCAAAGTGTAGTGACTGCGTATTTTGTGGGCGGAACTCAAGATCTGTAGCAAGAATGCATTGCCTGCTGCTCTGCTGAGACACAGAGACACAAGATGGATTGTTCTTGGTCTGGGTTGAATTAGTATGATGAAGTTGCTGATGGGATCATTCCATTACCCTCTAGGCTGGGGATGGGACAGATCCACTCAGGTTTGCTGCTCTTGACTGCTTACCAGCGTCCTCTGGTGGAAAAGACCTGTCTAACCCAAGAGAGCAGAGGCCACAGAGGTGATGGGTCTCCAATAACAAGCCGCCACTCTGTGTCTGCCCACGGGAGATTGAGCGCGTGGGACTCGTGCCAGAGAGCTGCCTCTGTCTGTCAGATTGCAACTCGCGTTAAAAAAAAAAATCCCACCCTCCCAAGATAAACACTGGCCTTGTGACCCGGAGAGAACCATCGCACTGTCAAAACCGCTGCTCAAAGACCAGCCAGTTGCGTCCGGTCAAAATAATAAACCTTGCATTTGATATAGCGCCTTATGACGGTCCTTGGGATGTCTCATGATATGCTGTAAAGTGACTCGACTGTATATTTCGTGGGCGAAACGCGGCAGCTAATTGTGCAGAGCAGTGTCTCCACAAACAGTGGTGGATCGAGTGACCAAATTAGTATTATTTTTAACATTATTACCCCCCAAAAAAAGCAATCCGCCAATCGACTAAGAACAGAGGAAGAAAATGGTTGCGGGGTTTGGGGTGGGGTGGGGAGAGGAAGTCACCATTTCACCGATGTGTTTGATTAACTTACGTCCTTTGATATTTCTAACAAAAACTTAGCTTGAGCTACACCACGTTCAACAGGGACAATGTTTGGAACACTCCTCTTGATCGCTCCACGCGCACTTCACACCTCGTAATATTTTAACCTTTCGTTTGGTGGAAGTCGAAAGTTAAAACATTAATTGTAGACATTTCTGACAGCGCATCTGACACGTAGTTTGGAAGCATTTCCCCGGAGGCCAATTTGGCAGAGTTTTAATCAAAGTTCCAGGAAAACAGCTCGCTCGAGAAATCCCCAGTGTGGAAATTACTCTCCATTTATCTTTTCTTAGATTCAATACTGGGTCAAAGTTTCACTGAAGCTTAATGAGGAAGGTGGTGTGAGGTGTTGATCTGAAGCCATAATAACCTCAGATAAGTAACCAGCTGGCACATTGAGGTGTGTGCCAACAATGCATGGAGCAGACACGATCAACTCCAAGACACTGAATAGCTTACGAAACGCACAGTCACTACACTTTACAGTAAACTCCTACGAAGGGCTTTGACATGTGCTCCTGGTGTAAAAGGCGTCGTATCAAACGTAAGGATTATTATTATTTATTGATTATTGCTCAGCCCCAGAGGCAGCAAGTGGCAGAGTTTCGAACCCTTGAGGCATCTGTATGGCCCACAATAAAAAAATACAAAGTCACTACGCTGTAAAGCGCTTTGAGAGGTCTCGGAAGACGTGATCAGGCGCTGCGTCCAACGCCAGGATAATCGATTTATTATTTTTTTTCGCGCGGTTTGTTTTATTTTGGCGTTTGTGCTTATTTTGTGTTTGCGTTTTATTTTCATTCTTAGGTACATATATCTATTTATGTATCTGTGCATTTCGACTTTATTTACTCTCACTTTTTTCAAAAAAAATTCTTGTCGTGTTTTTATTTCCGTCCGTGGCCGCGTTTACGTCGTGACTATTTTTTCCATCTCGTCTGCGTGTGGTTTTTTTTCGGTGGGTGGGGGGGGGGGAGTTAATTTAATTTAATTTTTAATTTATTTTTTTGGGGGGGTTTAATTTAATTTAATTTTTATGGGGGGGGTTTAATTTAATTTAATTTTTATTTTTTTGGGGGGGTTTAATTTAATTAATTTTTATTTTTGGGGGGGTTTAATTTAATTAATTTTTATGGGGGGGTTTAATTTAATTTTATTTTTTTGGGGGGTTTAATTTAATTAATTTTTATTTTTTTGGGGGGGGGTTTAATTTAATTACATTTTTATTTTTTGGGGGGGGGTTTAATTTAATTTAATTTTTATTTTTTTGGGGGGGGGTGTAATTAAATTTATTTTTTTGGAGGGGAGGGGGTAATTTAATTTCATTTTTAATTTAATTTTTTTTGGGGAGGTGGGGGGGGTTTAATTCCATGTTTGATCCTCGAGAGGACAATTCCTCCCCTTTGGGTTGGGGATGATGGGCAGGAGCCCATCAGGTGGGGCTGCAGGAGCCGGGGGGGGGGGGGAACCTCGCTGTGGGGGTGGGGGGTTCCAGCCGGACCCTATTGGCTGTGGCACCGCTGGCGGCTGATCGGTCCCACGCACCCATCCCTCCCTCCCGCCCCTTCCGGTTCCGGTTTCCGGTTCCTCCTCTTCCCCCCTCTGGTCGCTGTTGGAGGTGAAGCGGCGCGGGGAAGGTTCCAGAAAACAACAGCCGACGGTCAGGCCCTGACCCTGACCCCCCCCTCAAAAACACAGTACTTTCTACTTCTTCTTATAATAATAATAACAATTGATTGATTTAATTCGTTGATCGTAATTGTGTCTGATCCCCGAGACCGAGGCGCTCCCCCCCCCACACCCCCCCCCCACCCCCCCCCCCACCGCGCTCCCCCCCCACACCCCCCCCCCACCGCGCTCCCCCCCCCACACCCCCCCCCCCACCGCGCTCCCCCCCCCCACACCCCCCCGCACTCCCCCCCACACCCCACCGCACTCCCCCCCCCCACCCCCCACCGCGCTCCCCCCCCCACCCCCCACCGCGCCCCCCCCCACACCCCCACCGCGCTCCCCCCCCCACACCCCCCACCGCGCTCCCCCCCACACACCCCACCGCTCCCCCCCACACCCCCCACCGCGCTCCCCCCCCACACCCCCCACCGCGCTCCCCCCCCCACACCCCCACCGCGCTCCCCCCCCCCACACCCCACACCCCCCACCGCTCCCCCCCCACACCCCCACCGCTCCCCCCCCACACACCCCGACCGCGCTCCCCCCCACACACCCCCCACCGCGCTCCCCCACACCCCCACCGCGCTCCCCCCCCCACACCCCCCACCGCGCTCCCCCCCCCCACACCCCCCACCACGCTCCCCCCCCACACCCCCCACCGCGCTCCCCCCCCCCCCACACCCCCCACCGCACTCCCCCCCCACACCGCGCTCCCCCCCCCACAACCCCACCGCGCTTCAGGTCCTTTTGAAACTGTTTCAAGTGGTGTTTATTTTTGGAGGGGCGGGAGGAGGTGGGGGGGGAGAGGGAGGAAGTGTACGGGGGGGGGGGGAGAGGGGGGCAGAGTGTGCGGAGAGGGAAGGGGGGAGAGGGAAGCACTTTCGCGCCTTTAAGGTAGCGCCCACACAAAGCCGTACTTTTCACACTCACAAAACAATACAAACTCTACCCAATCTGCTGGTCGTATGAGTCCTGGACATTCCCTCACCCCCACCCCCCCCTCCGACACTCGGTTTCAAACCCCACAGATCGACTCGTGACTGATTAATAACGATCATCGTCGCTGTATTTGATGCAGAGCCTCAACCCGTCGTCAAAACGCCTGGAAGAAGCGCCGGCGAGATCCTGTCGCTATGGAGGCTCCTCCTGTCACCGTGCTGCCGGTCACCGGTGGGACCATCAACATGATGGAGTACATCTTGCAAGGTACGCAACGTAGGCGTGACTTAGACACCGACCGATGTGATTTATGTTAGTTTAATCCACCCACAAATTGGAATGCTCGCAACCCACTTAGGGCAAAGGGCAAAAAATAATAATAATAATAAACTGGTCACTTCAATCCACCCACGTCTGTTTGTGGGGACGCCGCTGTGCGAAATTGGCTGCCGCGTTTCGTCCACAAAACATGCAGTCACTACACTTTACAATATATTCTGCGAAGCGCTTTGAGGCGTCTCGAAGACGTGATAAGACGCTGTACCAAATGCCAGGATTATTATACGAGTTCGAGCTTTGCATTTGTTTTCGTGTAGAAACAGCGCTTTAGATCATTGAGTGATTTGATAATGTGAGTGATTGTGACGTTCGCAGGCAGTGTGCTGGACCAGAGTCTAGAGAGCCTCCTCCATCGCCTGCGCGGTCTCTGTGACAACATGGAGCCCGAGACCTTTGTCGATCACGAGCTGGTTTTCCTGCTCAAAGCCCAGCAAGGCAGCCCGTTTATCCTGAGGGCTCGGCGTTCGGTGGATAAACCCACTATGCCCTGGCATCTCCGCTACCTCGGGCAGCCGGAAATCGGGGATAAGAACCGATCGGCGCTGGTGCGGAATTGCGTGGACGTTGCCACCTCCGACACCTTGAATGAATTCCTGATTGAGATGGGTTTCCGGATGGACCACGAGTTTGTCGTCAAGGGACACATTTTCCGCAAAGGGATGATGAAGATCGTGGTGTCCAAGGTCTTCCGGATTCTTCTCCAGGGAAACACGGATAACATTGAGCCCCTGTCCCTCTCGTACCTGGTGGAACTGAACGTGGTAGCGCCACCCGGGCAGGACGCTGTCTCTGACGACATGAAGAATTTCGCCGAGCAGTTGAAGCCTTTGGTTCACCTGGAAAAAATCGATCCGAAAAGACTGCACCAGGCTTAGAGATGACTCTGTCGCCTTTCTGTTTTCTGTAACACGTTCATAACTTGGAAGCAGGAACTTTGTCGAGTGCTTTGAAAAACGGTGATAGCGCAACCCACGTTCATGCGTATGTTGAGGTCCCCTGCGATTACTCACCTGTCACCCAGCTCGGGGCCAAAGCCCTGACTGTCCAGCGCCTTGGGAAGTCCTCCTGACTTGAAAAGCGCTGTGTAAACGTCATTTGTTATTGTTGTTGTGCTGGGAGAGTTAATCTTTGTTTGTCTTCTACAGTCGGAACCCCGTTATAAACGAAACCAGATCTCGTGTTCTAGCAGGTTTCCCTATAGAGCAGCTCCTGGGTTGGGAAGTGCCATCGACAGAACTGAACCATGTTGTACAGGCAACGACTCCAGCCCTTGCGAGCGGTCGTTGAGACATCGGGAAGGTTCCTGTACCTGCAGGCCTTTGCACTGGAAGCTGGAATGTACCGCACCTCCCACCTACACTGGGACCACTGTGTGCAGACGCTCTGTACAATCTGCACTTGTTCCTGCGTTAAGAACATAAGAATTTGCTGGGCAAAAGAAAACCATGGTCCATCCAGTTCTCCTTCCACCATCCTGGCAGTCGCATGATATGTCATGTCCTAAATCATGCACTGTATCCCGAGATATTATTTCCTAACAGAAATTGTTCCCTCCCTAATAATGTGCTGCTCACACTAGGAACAGTCCAGCACAACATTTGCTCCTGGTGCTCATCCAATACTGCTCTCGATTTAGCTCCCAGGAACCGTTGAGAGAGAGAAAGCAAAGGGGAGCGAATACTCCCTTTATTGTTCTTTCTCCTCCCTCCCAGTTGTGGAGGAAGCGTCTGGCTGACCACGAATTGTATTGCTGAGTCCTGGAATTTGTCAACGTGGGCAACTATGGGCTTGTACCCATTCTGTAACCCTGCAGCCATGCAAATCTGGTGTGTATGAGAAATGCTCATTGTTATTTGTGTTTGCTGTTACTTGACGCTGTATCTCTGACGTCCCCAGTTTATCTGTATTATTTGCCCTCGGTTATTTCCTTGAGGTGTGTAATCTTAAAGAGTTTTTTCCTCTTTTGAGCATTGAGAGAGTCACGGGTAGGCTGAGGAATCGAGCTGAGATGTCTTGTGATGGCAACAAGCTTTTACTGCCTGGAGGAGGTTCTAGTGCTTTACTGGGTGATTGAAGAGGGAAGACTGGGAGGTGATGACGCAGTGTTTTTTTAACAGAGGAGTGCCATTTCCAGTTAGTGGAGCTCACAATTAAATCCTATTAAAGGTTTCTATTCTGAGCAGCCTGGTTTCCGACACATGGAAACCCAATCACTGCGCTTCAGAGTATCCAAAACCAGACCGAGATTTGGATGCAGGTTGAGATGCATCACTGATGTACACCTTTTGTGTATTAAAAATAAGTGTTTTGGATTTCCTTTGCTTGCTGTTACTGTAGGTGTGATTGTGGGCAGTGTGTAACATTTGGGAGAGTTTAGTCATAAGCACAAGACAAACAGTGCGCCAAATGATAAGAAAATCACAGTGAACGCACTCCATCCAATCTGGTCCTTGTGGGAATATTTGCCCAACAAAATGAACTGATTGTAGGATCTTAAAATAACTTTGAAAGTCTTATTGATCCTGTAATGTGGGACGAAGGAAACTTTTAGTTTTTTCAGTCTTGTCGTACCTTGGCTGCCTACTTAGTTTCTTTACGGTGTGGTGTGTGCCTGTGTTTTTGTCTCCGTGTGCATTTTGTGATGACGCAGAAAATCATCAGCTCCCAAAGACTGTGCACTCTTATCAACCGTGAAAATATTATTTAGACTTGCAATGTCTGCAAACCTGCGTGTGAATTATAGCTGCTGCGTTCGCCTACAAATACATGGTCACTACACTTTACAGTAATTCCCGAGAAGCACTTTGAGACATTTCGACGACATCATAAAGCTTTATATCAAATGCGAGCGTATTATAAATCTACATACAAATTTGGAAGAAAGCATACTAAAATAGCTTTACGCTCATACTATATAATCGTACTTTGCCGGCAGGGCGAAATGTTGGCCAAGTTTCCTTACTCCACGTACCACTGTTCACCTGGCAGAAAGTAGAAACCCAATTTAATTCCTTCCAAAAAAATAATAATAATAAATTGGTGACCTCAATCCATGATTCTTTGCGGGACGCAATTGGCTGCCGCGTTTGGCCCACAAAATATACAGTCCATTCACTTTACAGGATATTCTGTGAAGCGCTTTGAGACGTCTCGACGCGATAAGGCGCTGTATCAAATGCAAGGATTAGTATGTTACGGTAATAATGAGTGTCGGAAAATGAGGGAGATGATACGCAATAGGCAATTTGATCTGCAAATGCCACTAGAAGTTTTTGTGTTGTATTTTTTGCTAATTCATTAAAAATAATCAGAATGTGGTCCCATTTTATCCAAACCCCACACGCTGTCCGTGTCAGTGGCTGTGACAAAGACAGCCAGCAGAGGGCATTTGAAGTACACGCAGAAGCTTTTACATCTCCCAACAATGCCTGGTTTATATTACGAAAGGATAAGTCCCATTCATTATCCCTATATTTCACATATTTTGGATCGGCACAGCTTTTCTCCGTTGGGACCTTCACTGCAGCGCACAGTCCAGGTTGTCTCAATTGCCCACAGCAGTGTCCCACACACGGATGTGTGAAGAGAGACCTGCGCAGACTTTAATCCATGACATTACTAAACACCGGCACAAATCAGGAACCCAACTTCAGATAAAAACAAACTCCCAACAAATATTCCTTCTAATACTGTGCTTTGAGTCAGCCGTGTTGTATGTTAATAATAATTCTTGATATAGCGCCTTATCACATTGTCAAAAGCTCCGTAGGATACGTAGTGCCTATTTTGCAGGAAAATACAACAACCAAGTTGCGCACAGCAATGTCCCACAACAGCCATGAAGTGAGTGACCAATTTTATTTGGGGGATTGTTGGCCAGGACACCAGGAGAAACGGGCAACATGTTGGTTTAATGTCTCATCAAAAGGACAGCACCGATGCAGCTCATCACATCAGCCTGGACTGAGCTCAAAAGTCCTGACGTAGTGGCTTGAGCCCACAACCTTCTGATTCAGATGCCAGTGTGCTACTGACTGAGTCAGGCTGGCGAACTGATGAATAAAAATAGACCAGAAAGCCCGCGGCACCCTTTATTCATAAACGCTCTACAGCCGGCCGTTTGCGGAGATGAAACGCTGGCGAGACTTGATTTATCTGCCTGCAAGTTTCCCTTCCTCTCGGGTCTTATGGAAATGTAGCTTTTGGTCGAAAGGCTTCAAGGACTCATCACGTTGGAAATCACAAGTGCGACGCCTGCCCCTTTTTCCCCTCCAGTGCCCAGCGCAATGACACAACCGAGCAACTGTGATACGAAGCCGCAAATCATCTCTCGCTGAGTATTGTCAGCTGGGTGTTGATATCAGTTGAATTTCCATCAATGGACCCCCCCATCCAATTTCTTATCACATCAGTTTCTCCTCCTGCATCACGTCCTCAATCTTTTATTCTCTCTCTTAATTTACTCTCTAACCCTTTCCAGCTATGTTCTTATAATTAGATCTGCGTTTACATAATTAGTTTCTCTTCTCCCACCCCCCCCCCCTCCCCCTCACCACCACCACCCCTCTCCGCTGCACTTCTTAGGGTCATAAATTAAGCAGCCATTTATTATTCTTATTGAAATAAAGTTTAGAAGAAGTAATTGGGCGGAAAAAAAAATCCAAACATTGAATCTAAATAATTGAAAGCTACGAACTTTGTGCATTTTAAATTAAATCCAAAGTAAATGATGGAGCGAGAATGAGTTTGCTTTCGCGCTACCTTGTTGCACCATTTTCGTTTGCTGTGTGTTTTTTTTGGTCAGGTTGTCTCCTGTTGTTGTGCCTGAGTTGATTTCACTTATCCTTTTCTCCAACATTTGCTCCAACGTTCTCCCCTCTGCTCCTTCCTGAAGGCGTATCATATCATTCTTTATTGCTTGAGCTCTATAGCAGATCGATGTCCACGCTTCGCCTTCTGATAGTATCGTACAAAACATCAGGGCCAGATGAGCTGAAGGCAATGGATGATCACAGTTCTATTATTATTCATCCAACGCAACAAGGTCGAGTTTTCCCAGTCTGTGTGTGGAATAAGGCACAATAAGGTGGAGAATTGGCCCGCGTGCCACTCTGCGTCTGTATAATAAAAATTAGAAATAAGAAATCCTTGCATTTGATACAGTCCTTTTTACATCTGGAGGACATCCCAAAAGCACTTCACGGGTTTTACTGCAAAGTATCTTACTGCTTTACTGTTACTGTAGTGACTCTGTGTTTTTGCAGGTGAACGGCAGCCAGTTTGCCTCACCACGCAGCGCTCCCCAGGACTGGATTGGAGTGTCAACCGAGACCTATGTGAATACAAAGTGGGACTTGAACCCACAATCTCCTGACCCCGAGGAGAGCGCTATCGAATAAGGCAGGCTGACACCCAGAATCGATAGCTTAAATCCTCAATATCATTTCTCATTTCTTGCCTTCAAGCGACTGATTATTCACAAAAAATGTGACAAACGATGGGAAGATTGTGTGAATCCACTCCAGCTCCTCCAAGCTTTTGGAACCCGGTGAGATTTAAAAAGTCGTAAAAAAGCTACTTGAAGCCTTCCAGCAAGGCGCAGTTTATTTGCTATTATATACTGGGCTTTAATTTTTATTACCACCTAAAATAAAAAGAAAACTGCGTATTAAATTACCTTTATAGCACAGTATTGTGACCTTTCGGGAGTAGGTAATGTAACAAATCGTCTGTAGTAATTAATGTGGCTCTGAGGAAAATTGCTGTAAATCTGAAAACTTAATTTCAGCCTTGTTCCCAACCTTAAATCTTGCACAGCGGGTAATTAATCAGAGTACATGGTAGCATTGTTTCTCTTGCATTTCTGTTGCTTTAACCCATCATTATGTGATATGTGGGAAGCTTTGCTTTATGCATCAGGTTTCAGCAATCCAAGAGGTGAAATTTCATTGTTAAAGAAAGATTCTCTCAAAGGACGTGTTCCTGATGTTGGAGTGTATGAGGAATAATAATAACAATAATAATAATCATCATCATAATAATAATCTTTGCAATTGATATAGCAAGTTATTCTGTTTATAGCCTTTTTGTTTTAAAAATCCTCGGATTTGATGCAGCGCCTTTCACATCGGGAGGACGTCTCAAAGCATTTTGTGGGGTTTAAAATAAAGTGTAGTGACTGCGTAATTGTAGGTGAAAGCATGAGCCAATTTGCACACAACAATCTCCCACAAACAGCCATGAAGCGAGTGACCAATTTTATCCGGGGGATTGTCGGTCAGGACACCAAGAGAAACTCCCTTCGCTTTTTGAATAGTGCCCTTTAGGGATCTTTACAGACCTTTAACATCTTGGGTTTAATTTCTCATCTGAAGGACGGCACCTCTGAAAATGCCAAGACTGTTTGAGTTCAAAGTTTTCGACCTGTGGCTTGGACTACAATTCTGACTTGGGAGACGAGAGAGAGAGAGAGAGAGGAGAGAGCACTGCCAACTGAGCCAGGCAGACACGACACTTCAATGAATTATGCGCTGAAATGTTTCTGGAGCCTATGATATTAGATTGTGGCTGATTTATTCTCCTTGGGGAGGCTTTGCTTTCAGCCCTGGGAGGAAGACATTGGCTTGGTTCCCATTACCACGGGGAGATCTGTGGGATGAATTTGAGCCGAGTATTTTGTGGGCAAAGAGTTGGGTTATCAACATATTCTCTACCCCTCTACAGCCCACAAGGTTATTTCCTGACCATTTTCTTCGCGACGTGTTAAAATCTAGAAACCATGGATTTCAGAGGGTGTTTTATTTTTTGTTAACCTTTGATCTACAACCGATCAATTTTTTTTTACAAAATGACATCTTCTACATCTCTCTCTCTCTCTCTCCCTCCTCCATCAACATTTAAATTATACATTTGAAGTGAGATATGAATAATTGATCTCTGCGTATAGAAAGTGAGAATTAAACGTCCCGCAAGACTGCAAAAACAGCAGGCAAAATTCTAGCTTAAAGCCAAGCCAAAAAGTTCGAACCTGGTGAAATGAGAATGACCTTTCTGTACCAATGCCCACAATGTCAATGAAAGACCTTGGGTAAATTGTCAGCGAAAGGAACGTGCAAAGGGAAACGGCATAGGTATCAGTGCTGCAGTTTTTCTTTAGCTGCTGTTCATGGTAATAATAGTCCTTGCGTTTTCACTCACAAAACACACAGTCAATTCACTTTACAGGATATTCTGTGAAGCGCTTTGAGGCGTCTCGAAGATGTGATAAGGCGCTATATCAAGTGCAAGGATTATTATTATTATTTTTGCTTCTTATCAAGTCGTTGAGACGTCTCGAAACACGTCACAGAATATTCTGTAACGTGTTGTAAAGTGGATTGACTGTGTATTTTGTTTCTGGCAGTGTGTGAATTTCAGAGGGTTCCACAAATAAAAGTGTATTCCCTTCGCTCCAGTCAGCCTCAGAAACTGGCTAACTCTCCAGCAAAACAATACCACTACAGCACTACCTCACAGGATTCGCTTGTAGAGTGCAGTAATTATCTTTTGCCCGTTCCATTTCCTGGGTGACTGAGTGGAGGCCGAACTCTCTGAGCCTCGTCAGGGGTTTTGACTTTGTAGTGTAGTGACTGCGCATTCGTGGGCAAAACGCGACAGCTAATGAGAATGTCCCGCAAACAGCCGGGAAGTGAATGAACAGTTTTGCGTGGAGGGGGATTG